AAAAAATCTATGGACAAAAATGTGATTATAAGTTACTATGTGTAAGTTTTATAGTCCATTTACGGAGGAGCCAAAATCAATATCTAAAATTCAAGGAGCCTACTTAGAGAAACAATGTGTTAGGTCCCCTAGATTTTGATATACAATGTAATAGTTTTGATGATGCCACCCCTTTTTATTATTCCTGTATTAGACTTGTCTACTTATGTTCTACTTTGTTTATTTGTAATGTGCTCCATATTTAGTGGTAAAGTACTCATAAAAAGAAAAAAAAAAGTACTAAAAAGAGAAGTTAAACGTACCATAAAACAAAAGAAAAGAAAAAGATCAAAAAAGAAGAAAAGATACGAAAAGAGTTAACTGGTATTCATTGTTAGGAAGCCTACTGGAAAACCCAGATTTCGGCAGTCAGCTCCCAAGACTAGCAACCAGCTGAAATCTGGAAATCCAGTTAAGGCATCCGAAATCCAATTCTCTCTTCTCTTAGCACAAAACACTTAAACAAAAAACAAACTTGCAAACAAAAGAACAAATTGTTAAAAAGTAAATTTTTAAGAGATTTTTATCACATTATAAATTTCTTATAAATTTATTTTACAAAAGCAAGTGTTCGTTCATTGTAAGGAAGCATTGAAATATCACTCAGCTTTATACTAATTTCTACGCATTAAATAAAAGATAAAATATCTCTTATCTTGCATTGAAATGTGTAAATAAGTTGAGCTGAAGAATATTGATCCGTGTCACTACGTAACAAGAGACAACCATGCTGCCTCAGTCAAGTGGAACAAAGCAAGTAGATCAAGCTACGGTCAAGATTCATTTTCTCAGCCAACGGTGAAGATGAAGTGATCAAGTCTATAAATACAGAAGGAGTGTGGATTACCCGGTGTGGTCAAGTGGTCAACAACGTGGTGATTGTTCACACAAAGGTGCCAAGTGAATAGAAGAAAATCACACTCTACACCCTCAAATCCAGCCAGCTGATTTCCCTTCTACACTTAGGCCGCCACCCCACTCGTCTAATGCTCTTAGACTAGTTACAATTCATACAAATCAATAGAGCTTAGACTAGTTGGTAGTTTAGATTTTACACCCATGTAATCTAGACTAGTGTTAGACATTCTGGAGGGCTTAGTGATCAAACCCAGGTTCAGCCCCAGCACGGTCTGCGGATTTTGATCCTGGGTCATTCTTTCAACTTTTTCACCACTCAACCAACTCAACCACACTCAACCAACTGACACTCAACCGATTGAGCTACCTATGCGGGTTCAACACACTCGTCCAACAACATACAAGCCTTAATGTCAAAAGATTTTGAGTCGGCTAACAAATTCTTTTTAAGTCTTATATCTTGTGCAACTTTAATGAACGAGCCGGGGCTTGTGCAAAATGGTGCGTATTAGAGGGATGAAAAAAATTGATCCCTTATCGGGCTTGTGGTGGACTGGGCCGACCGACTGTCCATCTCCATCTGAGCTCTGAAATAATTCTACTTGGAAAAAAAGTTATTGTGAGTTGCATAAATCTACTAGAAACATTTAAACATATCCTTTTATAATTTATTTTATGCCAATATCTAAGTTAAAACAATGTAAGACTAATTATTCAGATTTTAAAACATACGAGTATATATTAAACACCTTCTAAAAATTAAAATTAAATAGTTTTTTGTTGATTTGTTGTTTTAAAAATGGGTTAGTACACATATATAACTAGGAATAAATATATCCGTAATATAGGTTAGTACACATATATAACTACGAATAAAAATATAATGAACTAAAATTCGAATTTGGCAGAACACTTGATCAAACCGTTCAAATTATAATATGGGAGAATTTGTCATGGCTTTGCTTTGATTTGTCTAGAGCTCGTCTAGCTTCCCGTTTCCGAAAAGTACTTATGGGTCAAAAACGGATTAACGAATCAAAAGTTACAGCCAAAACAAGATTGTCCGATACACAATAATTCGGATCTCATCTGAAAAATTAGAAACCAAATCTCCCAAAATTAAAAATAATATTCTGAATATAAACTAGATCTAATTCAATTAGAAAATTGAATTTTCATGTCTAGTCTGATCTGTTCCGAATAATTAGGCAGTAGGACTCCATCCAATTCCTAATCTATTCAGATCTGATCTTAAAATTAATGATTACTATCATAAAATATTCTTAACTTAAATTTATGAGTATCAATTTGGATATAATTCAAACTGTTGAATTTTCATGTCCAAACTGATCTGTTCCGAATAATTAGGCAGTAGGATTCCATCCAATTCCTAATCTATTCAGATCTGATCCGAAAATTAATGAATAATATCATAAAATACCCTTAACATAAATTTATTAGTATCAATTTGGATCTAATTCAAACTCTTGAATTTTCATGTCCATTCAAATCTCTTCCAAATAATTAGGCGGTAGGATTCCATCCAATTCCTAATCTATTCAGACCTGATCCGTAAAAATAAATATTATCACAAAACATTCCAAATATTATTGTGAATATATATTGGATCAAGTTCGAAATATTCACATATCACATCCTCACAAAATTTTCGGAATATAATATACACATATAAATTCCGAAATTAATAAATCAATAATTTCGAAATTAATAAAAAAAATCCGAAAATAAATCCCAAAATAATCAAATTATAAATTATATGTCAAATCATGTAACCTGAATATAATAAAGAACTGTAGGCTCTGATACCACTGTTGGGTTTCGGGCAGAAAAACGCAGCGGAATAAACGAAAAATTTACTACCCAAAAGTAAACAAACGGATCTGAGGTTCTTACTATACGAAATTACAAGACTTAAGAGGGACTTACATAGCAAACTTAAGCAAGGATGTCAGACAGTCCGAGAAAACAATCTAGAGCTCTACCAGTATCCACACGCACGTGACTGGATCGACCGCAGGGAACGTGCTAGCGTTCTCTTCTTTCTTCCTCTCTACTCTAGGTTTAAGAAGTGAATTTTAACTCTTAAAATTCGTGGGTCTACATAGCCCTATTTATAAGAGGAGGAAAGAATGGATTTTATAGCTAATAAAACTCTCCTAGAGGCCCTAGCCCAATACCATTCGAAACCCTATTTCGAATTGGGCTAATTAGGCTATTTTAATGTTATTAACAAACATTAATGATCCAAATCACTTAGGTGTGTGACCCTGTAGGTCTATATATTATTGGTAATAGGCTAGAAAATTAATTCAAGCCTCACAAATCATAAGCTGCCTTTAGCAAGACATTATGACTATCCAAAATATATAAATGTCAATTAAATCTGACATAACCTTTTAATGATTAATTTGTGCCAATAATTCTCTTTTGTCAAACAATATCTTAATTGAGACAAGGTTAGGTCGTGTCATCCTTATTATTCTCAATTAATATTTCTTGATTACCAAGTAAAATTAATCTTGATCAAATGACACCTCATTTGAGCATGGCCATGCTAATTAATCTTACTTGTCAAGGGGCCCAATAGATATTTTTCTCTCGCTATACAGGAGTGAAAAAAACTATCTTAATAATTCACATACTACTACATGGTTCATAATATGTACAATCACCACCTTCATAATTGCCTATTCAAAGATAACATTTAATGATGTTAATACATATTAATTCCCATGCAAGTAATCATGATTATCTCAAGTATAAGAATATAGCACCTCATCATTATTGAGGACAACACTGATGACATATAACCTAGCAGTGTCCTCAAGTTGGTTCTGTCCAATGAACTTGTTCCCTTACAAGCATCTATGTTATTAGCTTGATATCTCTATACCCATGACTAGTGGAATATAGCCATCAGTTAATCCACATATTGGTCTATTAATTATTAATGTCCCAAATTAATAATATTAGACCAGGTACAATTAGAATATTATGCTTATTTTAAAGTTTAGCATTACACAATTAAGTCACGTACTTAATTAGCTAGTAAACATAATATTCAGGGACTAAATATTAATAAAGAAAACTCACAATAATAATTAACATAAAATGAGTTTGTGACTTTATTAATTGACGAGCATTAAATATTCATTAATAAATCATAAACTATGATTGTCCTAGGGCATATTTCCAACAATAGTGACATAAAAAGGGAGCTGGGAGACCAAACATTTCACCTTACAGTGAATAAGCTGATGTCACTTTTCCAAAATATCACAACTCAGTCTGGTAGGATCCCTACATACCACCATTCTCCCCCTTCCATGCAGTCAAAATTATTTCCATAACACCATCCTCTCAATTTGATCATCCACACAATGTGCTTTAACTTAACTTCATCTCTGATTTTGGTCTCCAGAAGTGCGCAGAAATCAATATAACATTTCTTAATATAATTTACAACAGTGTTTTGTTTAAAGGTCTTATTCATAGATCTAACATTCCAAGATAGTAGCTTGAAGATTGTACACTCCCCCCCCCCCCCGCACTTGGTTTGCTGCCTTTGACCACTCCATTTCTGGGTAAAATTGGATTAACTGGTACAGTAATAGGTTTGGGTTCTTTCTTATTTCCTTTTGGCTCAATATCATGTAATGGATTAACTAGTACCTCAATTTTTTCGATTAAGGCTTGGATGTTGTTGTTGTGCGTACTTCCACACAATGGTACAAACATTAACAAACTATGATGAGACTGCAGGCTTGTGGTGCTATCATCAACTTTCTCACTTCTTCTTTCTACCTAGACTCAACTGAGAGAATCTTTTCTTGTTGATCTGGAAGGACCTAACCTTAAAGTTCTAGCTTATGTAGGGTGGGCACATTAGCACAAAAAAGAATATGTAAACCGAGTGAGAAGAGATGGTATCAACCTAATAGTTCTAACATATGTAGGGTCATAAGGGGGGGGAGTTCTCATCAACACAATCATCATATATATAAACATTTGGCTATGGGCAACATTCTTTCCCAAAGCCTTCCAACAAGTCAATATTTCAATTCAATAAGAATCCAACAAGGAAAGATAGAATGAAGCATATAAGATATGTCAGATAGAATAATAATTGATACATAGTTGGATAGAGCTACTCTGATATCTGAATCTTTAAACACTATCAATCTTTTTTAGCTATAAGAATGCTACTTCTAACATTATATTTGGCGTTGTACCACTCCAGATAAGTGTGAAATGAGTTGGCCTTATTTTTACTCCAATCTATAATCCTAACAGTCAATTTAAATGTCATCTCCTGAGCACCAATGAAAGACAATTCCGTGGGGTACACTGATATCTCAATCCCATCAACGTCTCCCAGTCTGGCACGATAAGTGGAGGCAGATTCAACCCCTACATGTTTGACTTTTCGTTTAAAATCACATACATCTTGATCCTCACTTAGCAACTTGAAAAATGAGGGGACGTTCAGGTTGTATGGCTTAATCTTTTGTATTTCCTTGACATCAGTGGGATTATCAAATGGTATTAGGAGCTCCCATGAAATGTCAAAAGTCTTCAAGTATCCAATATAATCACTAAACGTGATATCATATAACAAACCGGGTTCAACTGCTGCTAACGGGTTGACCACTCCATTGCCTATCCCGCAGACATCTTCTGGGTTTACAATTTTCATTGGTTTGGCTGCAAATACATTCACAATGACTTGGTTAAAAGAATCAGCGTGGGGGAATCAGAAGTTAGCTATAAGTACCACCCTTTTCCCGCAATTTTTTTTCAATACTTTCAGTCCCATCCTTACAAACCCAACAAAGAATACACCACAAACCCATCATAAAACACCACCACAACAATATACTAACACATAATAGGATTTTTTATTTGATTACCTGTAGTCATTATAGCTGCCTTTATAGCAGCGGGAGACCATGTGGGATGTATAGACTTGACATACGCAGCAACAACGGAAACTACCGCTGTTGCCATTGATGTCCCGGAAGTAATCACGTATCCTAAGTATTGTTTCACCTCGGGAAGCCCAAAACTCCCTTTGCTCGATGGGCACATATACTCGGCACAAAGAATGTCATCCCCAGGTGCACATATATCCGCCTATAAGAAAAATTACCAACACTCATTGTAGTTACAATAGTAAATATAAATAAAAAAAAGTTATACAAGAACTATAGAACATATAAATAAGAAACCTGGTACCCACCGTATAAAAAGAAGTATTACGAAACAATATAAGAACACATTTAACCTTGAGAAAATCCGGGGTTGCTCTGATACCCACCGTTTTGCATTCTCATGTAGCCATTTATTTTTTGACCATTGTTATATGTGACTTATGCACAAGGCAAACAACAAGTGACATCAAATTGAGTTCTTTTTTCATCTCTTGTTACGATGATAAGCCCAATAGCACCAGCTTCTTTCGCATCTAATCTGTGGCTATGACTTGATGGGGAAATTAAGATTTTCCCTTCACATTTAGCACGTTCAAGAACAAGACGTCTACCCCTGCAAATAATTGAAAATTTCATTAAATTTACAATAATGTTCTCACAATATGTTCATAATTAAAAGTTGAAAAGGAAAACAAAATTGTGTTTCTGTGAAGGGATTAACCGAGTACCCCTTCAATTAATTAAAATATACATTAGTGAATACATATTAAAAAGTAAGATAAATATTATAGTTAATTATACATCACCTCAACAATTTCGTCGTTCACAAGCTTTATCAGCGTACGAAACGTGTGCTTTGAATTGCACCCTCCTACTCATATATTCCAGGGAGCACTATTCTCCACACCGTTCATTGCACCATTGTTGCCGCTGGCAACACAAGCAAGTATGCCGGCTCTTGTGGTTTTTAGTGTCCCATAAGAAATGGCATCAGACTTCGATGTGAAAGGGCCATGCTCTGTTGACATTGATATAGACAAGATGTGCACACCATCTCTGATAGCTTCCTCCACAACTTTTCGCATTCGGTGTGCGAATAGGTTTCCTTGACCTTTTATTTCTTTATCAATGATCTTGTAAATAAATAGGTTTCCTCTAGGAAATCCACCCGTGGCTGTTCCTTGTTTGATGCCACCAAAGCCGGTAGTGACTCTTTTTCCGGCCACAATGGATGGACACATTGTGCCGTGTCCATCATTATCTTCAATTGACGGATCATCGTCGTAAAAGTTTTTAGCTCGAATAATTTTTCTAAAGTTTAATAGACAAAATCCATTTTAATATGTAAATAGACAAAATAAAAAACATGCAAGACAAATAACTTAAAACTACGTATTTTTCTTTACCCTTCAAAGCTCGGTGAGCGACGACATATCCCGGTGTCCACCACACTTATGTTTGTATCTATAGATCCACTTTCAATTTCCGTTAGTAATTTTCATCATACTTTAGTACATCCCATATTTTTGTTGTACACAGGTGAATATCATTGCTATCATTGCTCGGGAATACATTGACCCCTTCAATCCCTGAAAAATCATTTATATAGATTTCTTGTGTTAAATGTTACGTAGTATTTGTTCATAAAAAAGACTCTTGTAAGTATATTCAAGTAATGAAAAGCAGACAACTTGAGGGAATATCTGACTATTAAGGTATACCATCAATCCTTTAAGAGCATCCACAATGCTGAGTAAACTTATGGAACCCCATATGACTCCCTTATGGAGTCATATGGGGTATTGTGGCACCACAATCACCATTCATTTATTGTCCCCCACAAAATAAATGAATGGTGATTGTGGTGCCACAATACCCCATATGACTCCATAAGGGAGTCATATGGGGCTCCTTAAATTTTTTGCCACAATGCTAAGATGTCTAGTCTCTATTAATAATGCCAATGTCAAATGATGAAAAGGGTTTATAACCTACCTAATAAATGTGGAGTGAATTGACTATGAGGAATGAAAAAAGCTCTCCAATGCATAAAGTCTTGCGGGCCAGTAAAACTACCATGTGCAATTAATTTATGTAAATATATTAAAGTTAAATATATACAAACTATTCCGTATCAAGCTCAAAACGATCAGCACACTTTTTTTTAGGTAGAATTTGATGACTCAGCATGTGTCTAGTATTTTTTTTGTCCAAAAAAAAAGTATTTTTTGGTCCAACTCAGCAAAATGGAATTAAACAGTGCATGCATCAGAGCCCTTTACTACCGCACAGTGTCAAATTTTATGAGCTGGTGTATTTCTTTTTGGACTAAACAGTCCGCATTGCGGAGGCTCTAACAATGATATAAATTTTATTGAGAAGATAGTATATCATCTTCACAGTAGTTAGCTATGAAGTTATATAAAGGTTGGTACAATAATACATAGTCATGTATGACACGTCAGATTAAAGGATTGGTGTAAATTGATATTTTTGAAACATTGCATCATCAAATATTCTAGCTTTAAACAAATTGATCAAGCATTGTTTGAATATCTCTTTTGCCTCTTATTTTTGACACTGAATGAAATAAGACTGAGTTGTATAGAGTGAGAAATTCACATATATATGTGTGTTTCTATGCATGCACAATGGTAAAGCACTTATATATGTGTATATGTATTTTTATGTATAGATTCACTTAGATATCAAGGAGGAGCTTGTATTCATCTTCTGTAAGCCGAAGTGATGACCAATCAAGACTGAGTTCATAGAGAAAGAGCAATTCATTATTCATGTGTTTTGTTTGTGTGGCGCTAATTTTTTTTATATCAATGTTACTGTAGTTATGCATGCGTGTATGTACATATATGTATACTAGTGTGTCTACCCGTGCACTGCACGGAAAGATATGTGTTTAAAGTTTTTCTTAAATTTATAATGACAATTGATGGTATATGAATTGGCCAATTGAGGGTTAAAAGAGAACTCAATTGACATAGATACATATGTCAATATAAGTCGAACTCTAAAGAGTTTGCTCATTTCATGGTAGGTTGTATTTTAATAACCTGATTAACGCACTGGTTTCGTGGGTCAACATGCACGGGTTGTGGGTTGACTATGCAACTTTATATTAGGTCAAAATATAAAAATCTAGTTTTAACTTTCACTGTCTTAATTATTGTTTGTTTAAAGTATTTAACCATGTTTAAATTAATTGGTCTTATTTTGAGAAAAAACAGTGTTTTTGCTAAACCTGCCTTTCTTTCTTGCCCCACTCCTAATTGTTCAATAGTGAAATCTCAAACCCAATGCCAGATACATCGAGCATAATAATAATTCAACGACTTTTCCCAACGCCGTAACCGTCCCGCCGCCGACATCCATCAATCCCGGTTTCCATGAAGTCTCCTCATATTCTCTCAAACCGTTAGAATGATAATACATGCTTCCTCATCAGGCTCGGTAATCTGTAGTTATATTTCCCGATCCCCTAATTAGCCCGGGTTGCCTGCTCGTTTGTTATACATGTCAGAATTATATTTTAGGGGTTTTGTCGCCATAGATGCATAGGGAATTCGCATGGTGTTAGGGTACATATCGAAAAGATGCAACATCAGAAGAAGAAAAAGAAGAGATCATCAAAAACTGGCAGGTCTGGAAAGGCTTCTGCTTCTGCTTCAGCCGGAGATAAGAAACTCGACGAGAAAAAAGCTGTAGATGCTTTATTGGAAGCTTCCGTATCTGTCCAAGAGAACGTGGAACTGAACAATGACGGTGAGGTCATTGGGGACCTGGACGAGATTTTGGAGGAACGGAGCACAACCTCCTCGTGTTTTAGCAGGGAGGCAGGTTCGAGTTCATGCACGAGTTCGTCGGAGGTGATTTTGGAGGACCATTGTCCCGAAAGTTGCCATGGGGCGAGGCAGAAGTGTAAGATGAGAAAGGATATAGCTTCAGCTGGGACGGTTTCGACCTTGTTGGGGAAAGATTACGTGATGTCTGTTCCTAAGAAGAATTCATTGAGAATGAAAGGATCTAATGGTGATTTTTTCACAAAGGAAGATGCCGAACAATTCTTATGTTCAATGCTTGGAGGGGAGTGCGAATTGAGCTTCCCCGTGGTTAGAGACGTGTTATGTATGTTTTACATTCTCCCTGTTTTCTTTTGAATGCTTGGAAGGAATAAGTTAAAGTCTGTCCAGTTCCAGATACATACCGAGTAATAAGTTGACAAAAGTTAATTAACACTATAACTGCAGGCAAATAAAACATAAAACACAAAGTTTTACACTAGATGCCTATAGCGCGTCAAACTCTTGGATATGAATTATAGCTAAAAGGGAACTACAAATAAGTGAATACCTATCGACAAAGAGTTGTTTTACAATTACCTCTACTATGTCTGGAATTAGACACCTAAGGATAAAAGTTTAAAAGGAGGGCTGCTGTTGTTTGTGGTGGTTATGCAGTGGCCAGTAGCAGCTGTACTGCCACTCTTATGGTTTTGTGGCGGGCCGCCATTCTCACCATCATCACTGGTGGTGCTGGATAGTAAAAACCGGCACTCCGGCAGAGGTGATGCTGGTGAAGGGTGTTACTACCGGCATCGCTACTTCTTCCATTGTGCAATTGCAATGTGATTTTTGCATTCACTAGCATACGATAGTACATTTTTTCGTGCACGGATAATATCATAAGTGACACTACTGAGCTGAGATAGCTACCAGACTTGTGTCCTTTTACACATATAATGGTGCATGACTATGAATATAATTAATGTCAGTTAATATAATGAACTTGATTTGAGACTGAATTCTGTTCAATTTTTGACAGGTCAGTGTGGATATGATGTAGATAAGGTAATAGTTTCTATTTGAATTTTACTCTAGCTTATTCTCACTTTCCTAGTTGTTCGATTTCAGTAGATATTGTTGCATGGGATATGTCCACAATTGTTGTTATTCTTGGTTATGAAAATATTTTTTTCCTAGTTCTTTGTGATTTTTGTAAGGAATTTAATGCCCAGGCCCATCTTTTTTTTTAAATCTCACTTCATAAGTTCCTTTAAAAGATTTATTAAAGTGACAGAGTAGGGTAGCGGTATATCTCGTCCTGGTTCTAGTCTTACCCTTTTTACACACTCAACTTTTTCCATTTATTTTTATGGACACATGTATTGTTCTGAAGTTCCATGGGTCATCCGGAAACAGCCTCTGTGTGCTTTAGTACAGGGGTAAGACTGCGTACATCCAACCCCCTTACCCCACCATAGGTGGAGCCTTTGCGGCCCTAGGGTAATGACCATGATGATGTATCGTTCTCAAGTTAGTCTTAGAATGCTTACATATTTACTTTCCAGGCT